TTTTATATATGTGAGTAGTAAAAAGTATTAAGTGATGATTCTATTCCATACCTTATTTTATACATATATTTTTATTGATGTGCTATAGGTGATTCGGTGCTCTAAGATCAGCTTTCAATATTTTATTCATAACACATTACCCTTCACTCGATTCATGTTTTCTTTTTTTCAACGATTCATGTTTATTGTTTTCTAAATTATAATCTTATCATCGACCTACCCTCTTATATAATAAAGTTAAATATAAAACATTGACAGTATTATTATTATTATTATGATGATGATATGTGAAAAATTGAAAAACGGTATGACAATGCTGTGATTTATAGTTATTATTTGAAGTGTTATAACAAAATTAGTAATACAAAAGAACACTATATACTAATAAAAAAATAAAACTAATTTCGTTGGCATAATTTTTTTTTAAGAAAACAAATCATTAACCAGTAAAGATATTAAATATAAAATAATTTTATATTGATATAAAACTTTAAAAATTTAATCTATACAATAAATGCTTTTAATAATTTAATGGATAATTTTATAATTTTTTTAAATATAAATGTATTAAACACGAAGGTTTTTTATATAACTTACAATACTATGTTTGTTAATTTATATTAATAATGTGCATATATTGGTGGCTTAATTTTTATGAACAAAAGTCATAAAAACGAAAAAAAAATATGACACTTAACCATTAATATACTGTATCTTTTTGGGTAGTGTATCATTAAAAGTTGGTATTTTGTCATAAACATTTATGCATTCTTTTTCATAAATAAAACAAAACTTTGCTCTTTTTTCTGACAACGTTTTCTTCAATTGAGTTTAAAATTGGAACACAAGCAAATAATAATAATAATAATAATAATAATAATAATAATAATAATAATAATAATATGAATACAAATATTATACATTCGAAAAATTGACCGTTTTATAATCACACAGTTGAATGATTCGGAAGTTATTTCATTTTTAAAACATCTCATCATGTTATTTATTGAAGTTGACAAAAACATTACAGAATATATTATTTCGAATCATTGAGATTTTATTTAAATTGCAATATGTAATGTTTAAGATTTTTTTCCTCAAGCATTACATTTTTTTAATGAATTAAGTATAATAATGAATTACTCTACCTGGAAAAATAGAATGCTAAAAAAAACATAGTTTTTAGGTAATTTTATTGTTTAAAATTTAAATCACTAAAATTAATTACTCTATATAATATTGTATATTATTATTTGTATTTTTTATACTTTTATAACCATATTTTATACTAGATAAGATATCACTCGGTCTCAATGATAAAAGAAGGAATCTGATTACTCCTTCAGCCTAAAGAGGACGACCACTCTCGGTTAGATTAAGAATAAATTAAAGGATAATTAAATTGATTAAGATAAATAATTAGATCATTATTTATTTAATTAAAAAATTAAAAAAAAGACTAATTCACAAAACCCATTAGCTCATAACACTGCTTATAAAAAGAAAATAAGAAATAGGTAAAAGATTGACTTCTAAATATTAAATAGTATTTATTATCTAAATCGACACCTAACTTTATCATTGGAATGTCTTTTACAGGTACACCTCTCACGTCATAAAAAAAAAGTCAGTAATATTCACAAGGACGTTATCATATTTCATAGAAGATGAGCTTTAAAAGAACTCATGTATTCTTACTAGAAACACGTTTTAAAATACATCTTTAAATAAAATAAAATTACCTACAAATATATGTTTCTAATGATTAAATGATTAAAGAATAGTTTCTTTTTTATATATAATATTTTTGATAATCTTAATCTTTATTTTAAGCAGTTAATTTTTATTAAAATAAAATATTTATTATAGTCTTATATTTTGATGAAAAAAATTAAAAATCCTTAAATTGAAAATATTTTAAGATTGAAATTAACAACACTATTTATATAAAGTTTGTGATTATTGGGCGTCACTTTCGATGGTGTTTGGGTAGATCCCTCTTCCAATAATTTGGTGCCATGTGCCTCCAATAATTGCACATTCCTTTGTTTTTTCAACCATTAATTTATTTCTTAATGAATCCAAACCCTGTTAGCGCCGTACTTTGTTCAAAGCAAAACAGAACGTCAACAATAATATGGATGAATACAAGAATATGATGCTGAACTGCTCATGACATGAATGGGGCATATATATATATATATATATATATATATATATATATATAATTTCGATCTTTAAATAAAGAAAAAGGCTTGCATTTTATTATAAATGTGTTAAATTTATTTTTTTAAAAATATTTTATAAATTATTATTTAATTGAAACTTTTTTTTTATGTGTATATTCAAGTCAAATAAGATTAGAATGGATAATAATCTCTTCCTTCAAATATTTAACATAATTATATTTATTAAAATTTAAACTTAAAATTACGTATTAATATGTAAAATTATTTAAATTAATATTATAATTTATTTTAAAATTTAGTGAACAATAAATTATTTTATGATAACTAATATAGTTGACATAATTAAAAAATTTATTGTGATTTAATTTTTATTTATGTATATAAAAAATGGATGATACGTTGTATTAAAAAAGAATGAATTTTCAAGTGTGGATTGAGAGACATGTAAAAATATTCGATGATCTTTAATTTAAATTTATTTGAAAAAGGCATAATGATAAATAATTGAGGATTATGGTGGTGGGTAGCTGATGTGGGGACAAAGAATATGACGGAGGGCTATGAGACATTAGATATTGGAATACAACTTGGATTAATGTTTATCAAGTGAACTTGGTTATTGGCAATTATGGTGGAGATGGAGAAAAGGATAATGAGATGGTCTAGGAGATTATATTTGAAGTTTTATTTTTTTAAATAACTTTTACTTTTATAATAATTTGAAGACTTTTTTTATAGGATTTAATTTTAAAAATTTAAATTAGACTACACAAATTATGTTATGCTTTTTTCATTCAAATTTGTTTGATAGTTAAAATACAGACATATAAGATGAAAGAGTAAATAAAATAGGAGTAGAATACTTATTTTATAAAGTATTTGATAGATATTAAATAATCTAATAAATGTTAATATAAATAATATGCGAGTAACAAAATTGATTTTATGGAAAGGGTTGGCGGCAAAAGAATAACTTTAGAGATAATAATAATAATAAGAGACAATAATAATAATACTAATAATCGTATAAAACAATATATTTATACCTTGATAAATATCTAATCTAATTTTTATTATAAAAGTAAAACAAATAAACTTAGACTTGTGTTAATTTACTCTGTGTGTTAGTATCCTTGCCCAATTCCATAGAATCTCATGGATACTAAAACTCATTTATTAATTTAGTTTTCAAAACTATGTTTAAGATGAAAAAATAAAATAAAACTGTATTGATAAATTTATTTTTGAAAATAAATTTTACAATTAAAAAAATAAAACGTGTTTGGTTTTATTTAGTCATTTATTTAATATTTTAAAGTAGATAAACATATATATATTTGATATTTAATTTTAGTATTTTTTATTTAAATATATTTTTATATCTAAAATAAACATTGACTTGAAAAATTATTAAAATATCAAAATTTAATTAATATTAAACTAAAAAATGTTTTTGTTTATAAAATAATACTTACAATTTATAGATAAGTTAATAAATTATAAAATATAAATAATATTAAACTAAAATATAATAATTAAATTAAAATTAAAAATTATTTTTAAAAACTTAAGTTAACAAATAAATTTTTATTATTTTTATTTTTAAAAATAGAAAATTATATAAAAAGACAAATATAGTCTTTATTTTTATTATTTTTCATCTAGTTTAATTTGAATCTAACTCATGTCGCGCATCTGGATATGGTAAGTGAGTTTATCACTACAGATTTTTGGTATATATAAAAACTCAAACTCAAAATCTTAGTTAAACGATATCAAGTTATTTACCACTTAGAACAATCTACATCTACATTAATAAATATAACATAATCCTTATTAAAAGTCTAAAACTACAAGGTGAACATTAAATAGACTTTATTAAAAATTCTGTATTACATAAAAATTAAGTATTAAATAACATTTGAAATTTTAATTTAATCAATACTTTATTTTTCATAGCCTAAAAAAAATTCAATCTTTCTCTCTCTTTTCTAAGCCTCTCTCCTTAAAGGTCCTGATATGCTAGAATAGCAGGTATTATTATGAGTTTCTATTTTAATTTTAATTTTGAAAATTTAGGAATATACCTTTCTTTTTATGTCCTTTTGATTATTTTATATAATTTATTAAAATTGTAAAAATGTGAGAAAAAAAAGGGTATGAATTATTAAATTCATAGTAAATTCACATAAATTTTGGTTAATAAATAAGAATATATTAAAATATGTATTATTAATATTTAATTATTTTTAGTATTTTTTTTAAATATATAGATGTCAACTTGATTTTTTTATTTGATTAAATCTACAGGGTATACAATATTCTTTCTAAATATATAAATTTAATTTTTTATTTAAAAAATTTAAAAATATATATTTATTCATTAATCCTTAAACATATTTATGTATTATTATTAAATAATTTTTTAACTTAAAATTTATTCTTTTTAAAGGATCTTTATGTAATAAAAAATATTAAAAAAGTTACAATAAAAATAAATTACAAATTAATTAAACTAATGATATTACATTGTAAAAAAAGTATGTGATACTCCCGTGCGAACCAGAGTAAGCACTTTTTATTTTAGTCCGGACGTGGGTTTGTTTATCCTCAGTTATTACTTTTTATTTTGGGTCAATATTTATCCTCAATTTTTCATTCAAAAAAGAAAGTAATACGAAGGCCCAAAAACTGAATGAGGCCCACAGAATGACCAAAATATTATATGGAGGCTCAAAAATTGATTGGGAAGCCCAAACAAAATAGGCAGGGGTTTAGCATTTTGCTTTTGGATTTGAAAGTGTTGATAGGAACCGGAAGTGGGTGAGAAGAGAAGTGATCAAAAGACGAAGCGAATTGAGAGTGTGTGTTACACTCAAACACAATGAGAGATATTTGCAGAAATTTCCAGCGAGGCAGGTTGTTGTTCTTCTTCTTCTTTATCGCTACTTTCAAATTCGGATTATTAAGATGTTGTGTTGTGTTGTTCGTGTGCCATTCCCGTGTTCAATTGTTTCTACTTACTATTTGTTGTAATTCTAAGCAAATTTTAGTTTATGGTGTTATTGATCCTTAATGTTAAATTTGTTTATCCATTTACATCATCGAATCAAATAGTTTTAAAATTGTGGTTTTGATTGCTGTGTTCGTATTTCAGCTGTAAATATGGAGACAGGTGTAGATATTTGCATGCACTCCAACCACAGCGAAAACCCAATGTTCATGGGTTTGGAGGACAGGGAAGTTCTCACCAACAGCAAAATTCAAATCCTTTTGGATTTGGGTCTCATGCTGCCTCTGCCTCGCACCAGCAGCAAAAGACCAATCCTTTTGGTTTTGGCAGCTCCCAGCTAAATGGGGTCTCCCATTCTGAGTCCAGACCTAACCAATTCAAGGTTCTTACTCTTTTCCTATGCATATGCACGATGTGAAGGTTTATTTTTGTTTTAGTTTTTCGATTGTTAGAGATTATAATAAATGAATATACCATTGAAACTCTTTAATATTTATGGAGTGTTTTCTGAGGGGTTCTCGCTGCTATGTTTGGTTTCATCTTCACTTTGGTGTAAAATTATCTGATTATTGCTCTTAGTATTGATGATTTACTTCTGAATCAGTCTTTTGAAAACAAATGGAATCGACAGTCATCCAAACCCCAGAAATCTGATAACAACTCACAGCCGGTGAATCATCAGTAAGTATTTATCAATCCATTCTCCATCTCTCATGAACCACGGGTATTTTTCTTGATGTTGTATCAAATCAACCTGTGGAACAGGGATGTGCATAATGCCACTTACTTGTTGGACATACACCCTTGTTTTGTTGCATATGTACTACTTTTCTTTTTCAGTTAAAGTGTATGGTCTTCTAAATATTTGATTTTATAGAATTTGTTAATTGAATGTGTGTCATGTCTTACATTTTTCTTTCAACTAAATAAACAAGCTAAAGAAAAATTTACTGTCATTATTTTTCTTCCTTTGGCTTTGTGGTTTCTTTTGGAGGATACCTAACCATATCTTGTATTTCCCCCTTTTTATCTAATTGTATATCTTTTTCTGTCTAAAAAAAGTCTCATTAAGGTAATTTTACAATTTGCATCCATGTTGCCTATAAATATTTGTGGCTTGTGCCTTATTTTACTTTTTTGTGTTTTGCATAAGACTAATTGATATACTTGGTTGATGTAATTAAAGATGCACAGATCCTGATATCTGCAAGCGCCAGATTGCAGAAGATTTTGAGCAAGAGAAACCGCTTTGGATACTTACATGCTACAGTCATTGCAAAGGGTATATTTCTTTTGACACAATGGTTTGAAAATATTAATCAAAGTTGTTAGTGTAAATAATATATTGTTTAATCATGGTGTACCTAGCGCAGGCAGCAGGCCATGTAGAAAAAAGATCAATTTTCCTCAAAACCTGTGCAAATGGACTATGTTTCAAAAGATTGTTGACTATTTTTCCATTCATCTCCATTCTAAAAGATGAATGAATTTTAATGGGAACACTTTTCATTTGAATTAAAAAGATTCAAGTGATAGTAATTCACATGAAAGGTTCAAATGCATGATATCACTTATGATTTAAATTTCACCAAACTGCAGCTGAACTTTCTTTAGTTACTACTTTTTACTAATGAGTTATGCCATTGTCCACCTGGAATACACCAGCAAAATAAACCTGAAAACATCAACTCAAGAAATTTGCACATCAAGTTATACTTTTTAAAGAGATCCTAGTCTACTTTCTACTCTTCGAAAGATAATTTGCTTTAAAGAATTGTAACCACTGCACTAACAAGAAAGCTAAATATGATTTTGACCTCCTTTTATGCAGTGCTCCTTGTGACATTATTGGTGATATTAGCTATGAAGAATTGCGTGCAGCAGCTTATGAGGATGCTAAAAATGGGATGAGCTTGCAATCAATAGTAAGAAACCCGATATAACATGCCTAAAGTTTCAAGGGAGTTCCCACATATGATGTTAAGAGAATTGGATAGCTTTTTTGTTGCACTTTTTATTCCCTTTTGTTTCTGTTTTGTTTTCCTTTCCTCTTGTTTGGAGGATGCCCTATTATCTACTTAGTTGTAATTACTTCATTTTTCTTTAATTAAACTTCAATTTTACATTTTTTATTAAAGAAAAACCTTCTTTATAATGTCTTTGTATTGCCATTTGTAACTACAAGGTTACAGTTGTGTTCTGTATTCTGTCTAACCTGAAAATATATGATGTTGCAGGTTGAGAAGGAGAGGAACATACTAAAATCCAAGTTGGTGGAGTTTGAGAAACTACTTTCTGAACCCTACAAAATGCCCCTAAATTCTTCTCTTGACAGTCAAAAACACCAATCTGTTGGAGTCAATGCAAATCCGTTTTCAAATACTTCTCAAAATAATGGTCCTTTGTCAGTCTCAAGCTTTAGCCAACTGGGTGCTTCATTGAACATGGGTTTTGAAAGGTAGTAATAACCTGCTAGAAAGCATTTTCCCCATTTTCAGTTGCTTGAGGTTGAAAAATGTCTTCAATCAAGGAAAATCCAAAATTTAGTTAACAGAGTGCGAAGAGCTTCTGTGAACTATGGTTTCCTCCCTGTATGATATTGACAAGGCCTGATAGTTTGTGCATTGAATTACACCTCTACTGGCATCCCTTTTTCTAGAACTTCTATCTAGTGTCTACTGTTTGTTTTGTTTAGGATTATGGTGTAATTAATGAGAGAAAAGAGAAAGGCATAAGAGCTTTTATTGTTATGGATTGTGGTTACATTTTCTTAGATGGTAAACAAACAAGTCAGATATCAGTTTAAGTGTTGTAGAATGAGCTCTGTATTGAGAATTTGGTGTCTGAAACCATTCCTATAAAGGCTAAGTGGTTACGGAAATATCCCTTGGAGTTTTGTTTCCTTTAGCATTGTGTGATTCAAAATGTAGTGTGTTCTTGAATGGATAAGATGCATGTCTGAAATCATTGCTTCCAATGGAATGATTTTGTCCTTTATCTTGTACTTCCTTTTCGCTGCTAGTAATTTTAATTTTTATGTTGGCTCTTCATCTAATCTGTTCGAATTCTCTTGTTAGGCCCTCTGCTCCACTGACAAACACCCTGGCCCAGCCTAGTTTCCTTGGAAGTGGAGGTATATATTTGGTGTAATTTGGATAACACTGTGGCTATACATGTCTCCTGTGTTTCTTGTGCATATATGTCTGACTGTCAATGTTGTAATAAATACAAGGAAACTCTTTCACATCCAACACAGCAAACCTGAACATCAGTGGCATCTTCAGTGCTCAAAGCAGCACCTATTCTAGACCAGTGGAGTTGACAATGTTTCCAGGTTCAACTTCAACTTCTCAGCAAACATCCATTGCCTTCAATAACTCTGGTCCTACTACAATGTTTCAAACAACACCGGATGTTCAGTTGTTGTAAGTTCATGGTCAAATTAGTTTATTGTTCTAAAAAGTAGTTGTCACAATTTAACCAATTTCTGATTTCATTCATTGAAAAATAGTCAAACTTTCTATCATATTGTCAGGTATATTGTTTTGGACAGCATAATAAATAGTGTAAGTTACACACACACTTCTTGAGGTTTAATAAAATTTTACTTAATACTTTTTTTTTTTCTTACTCTTCACAAACCTTCCTTAATTTATATAACAAAATATAACACTTCATACCTTTCTCAATAACATATACCTCCTTTGACTTCTTATGCAATGAATTAAGGGAAATCTAAGTAATGTAAAAAGGTGTATCGAGTGAAATTTTATTAAACTTCAGAGAGGTGTTATAGTGGGATAGCGGATAGCAGGATGGCCTCTATTCTGAAAATTTGAAATAAACCTAAAATAGATTACACACACAAATTAAAGAGATATACATAATTTGGAGGGTTCCAATAAGAAAAACAAAAAAGAAAAATGAAACAGAGAAGGAAATCAGAAAATAGAGTGGTCTCTCAATGGAAAAATGCTCTAATGCAAATGGTCTTACTGGAAAACATCTAGGTATCATCGGAAAATGTGTGGAACTTAACTGGAAATAGTGAGTGCCGGAAAACAGCCCCTAATGTGGATGGGTCACGTTGGAAATCAATGGCCTTCACGAGATGAAGAAGACAACCCAAACTTGGATGGAAATGGTGACACACATTGGAAAACGATGTCGCCTGTTGTGAAGTGCATGGGATGAAGGAGAATTTGTCAGAGAGGAAGGATAAAGCACTTAGGGTTTTATTTTGAGGCTTCGAGCAATCTTGCACAGAAACAACAATGTAGGTGGGGGGGGGGTGGGATCCCAATATTGCCCTTAAAAGCATTGTAATGTTTAGAAAGAGAGGGTAAACTTGAATTTTTGCCCTGCATGATATAGCAGCCGTTCACGTCTATGATTTTTGTCTGCCCACAACGACAACTTGATAAGGTTTCTTAAGCTCCATTAGAAAAGGGACCTAACTAGGACTAGAAACAAATTAAAAGAGGAAATTAGGGTTTCTAAAGGATGTCCTTGAACCCTAGAAATTGGGACAAAATTAAAATGAGCAATGAAGGCAGGCAACAACAAGAAGATGATGTAGTAAAGTTAGAGATGTGGTCTGAGCTAATTGCAATGAAAATTTGGACTTAAGAAGAAAATTGACATATCCATAAACCCTAGGTCAGATTTTGAATTCCTTTTATTAATGTATATAAAATAGAGAATTAGAATAAGTAAGAGCAAATGATAGGCACCACAAACCCATTTGGTTGATAAGCCTAAGAATTAGAATTCTTGATAAGACTTTAGAAGTAAGGATGAATCCTAACCTTGAGAGAAAACTCAATTTTGAAAATGTTTTAATCTGAATTTTGCCTTTTCTCTTTTGTTCAAATTTTTTTAACACTATGCAAATTAAGAGTTTGCCTTAAGTCAAACAAAAGAAAAATAAAATCCCCTTAAGCACGAGCAAACTGAGGTGTTCTAGTGGTCATTAGGATCATGCTCAGCCTCTTGTACCTAGGTTTGAATCTTGCTACAAATACTTATTTCCTTCAAATTCAGTAAAAACAAGATAAATGATGAGCATCAACTCCATGGATGGATCTTCCTTGATATCATGGGCTTTAAAACAACATGTATTTCACGTGCTAATGCATCTTGAGCCTTTGTCACCGCTACTCAAAACCATGACGTGATGAGCTTGAATCATGGTAGGGAACCAAATCTCATAATCCTCTTGAAGCATTCGACCTTATCGATGACCCTTTTAAATGTTCTTATTTCATACCATTTAATGAAAAGAGGCTTAACAATAAATTTTGATGACAAGAAGACACCATCTACTATAACATTTTTTTTATCAAGAGATGAATGGAAGTCGTTTACGTTTATGGGTTTTATACCTAATTCTGGAATTTAAGTTTTGGGTTCAGCGAAGGGGTAAGAAACAAAAGGGAAGAAGTGATAATTATTAATTGCTCAATAAATCATTCTAATTTTTCTGGAAAGTGAAGAATCCAAATGCATCTACTGTAATTATTATAATTTGGATGCAGTTGGATTCATAATTCAAAGATAAAATCTAGCCATATATTATATTTTATAGATTAGATTTTAATCTCAGCAGTGATGCTTGCAGTAGTTGGATCTTTTGTTTCCTTTATTTTTACTTAATAATGCCTCCAGTTTATATTAGTAATTGAATCTGCTTGGAAACTTCACCTTTGTTTACGCAATTTCTGAGGTTATCATTATAGAATTTGAAGAAGTTTGAGCTTCATATGCAAGTGAAAAATACTTTTACTTGTATTGTAATGTCGTCTGTTCCTGCAGAAATAAGTCCCAAGTGGAGAATGTGTCGGGAGATGTCAGTATTTGGTTAAAAGAGAAATGGAATCCGGGAGAGGTAATAGTCTTCTGCTGTGCTTTAACTGTTAATGTTGAAAAAATGGTCCAGTCAGGTTTCTCGAAGGCAATTCATTTTGGTTTCCAAAACCAGGACAAAATTCCCCTTAAGATTGATACGCAGTCAATCATAGTATTAAGATCTCTTCGTTCTTGCATGTGTTAAACCTACACAAATATCTGGACCATTAAAATTTGGCAGATTAAGATTTACTTTCTGTTGACTATATTTTCAAATTCAAGTGTTGGGGATATTTTGATGAGTGCTTCGTGTGAGATATGTCTACATTTTTGTTTGTTTTCATTTTATTTTGTGTACTTTTTCTGGTTGGCAGATTCCAGAAGAAGCTCCTCCTGATACACTTGTACGGTAGACATTTTGTGTATTGGCATCTGAAACATATCACTCAATGCTGCGTTAGAAAGTTTGCAGTGTGTGGATTGGGCTTTTCGTGGTTAAATGATCAATATAGCATACTTTATCACTTCGGTTTTACGGCATTTATGTAGATATTTTTATGTTAGCAAAAGGCAAGAGCCCCATCGCCGTTCTTACACAAACGAAATCTTGTACTATGTCAGGAGTTCATTTGATACGGATTTCAATCCTCTTACCATGTAATTCTTTCTTTTTTACCAATTGGTAATTCATTCTTTTTTGCCCCACAAAATGTGTCATAAGACGATAGACAAGTGCATAGAGTCGCATATGCGAGAAATTAGTTTTTCTTTTTCATGTGAACTGGGAGCAATTATGCGAAGTGAAAATCTATATATATATATATATATATATATATATATAAAAGAAGAATTTGTAAATTTAAAAACTTACACTAAATCTGAATTTTTTATTTAACTAATAAAATAATAAATTATATTTAGTGTAAAAAAATTCTGCTTCGTGTGTGTGTATATATATATATATATATATTTTAAATTCAAATCAATAACATGTTACAAGTTTTTATTATTTTTTTAAAAAATTGTTATTTATGGAGTATGTTAAGGCTGGAAAGGGTGCAAATAAACATTTTGGAAAAAAAATAAAAATAAAACAATAGAAAAAAGACAGCCAAAATTAGACAATAATTAAAGAGGCTAGATTTCCAACAGCAATAATAATTTTATCCTATTAAAGGAAGTCGGTAATAAGAATTCCTAAAGAAACTAAATATTTCTTTTTGAATGTCCAATGTCAGTAATAACCACCTTAGATTTCGTATATATCAGTCAATATCAACAAATATGAATGTAGATGGTGGTGACGGTGGTGGTGTGAGACTAGACGGAAGCCTAAATAATTCAATTCCCAGCATAGCTATTTTTTTATATAATGAAAGTATGTACAGGGCTTTGAAATATACTAAAGAAAGAAATACATTCATTTTATGAAAGAATTATATATATAATTCAATAGAAAGTGCCATGTAATTAGACACTAGAAATGTGATCAGTACCAACATCGGATCGAATAGAGGAATCAAGTTGAAATGCGAAAGATTCAGCCAATTTGACTGCATCTGAAATTCTAAGCCTTGTTCCTTGTTGTCCAACAACAGTGGCTGCAACCTTAGCTGCTATTGTTCCTATACTTCTCAAATCTGATATGCCTCTTAAGAGACCATAGAGTATGCCAGATGCATAAGCATCCCCAGCACCACAAGTATCTATTGGAACACATGGAGAAGGAGGGATATATACAGCTGTACCTTTTACACCTATGTAAGAGCCTTTGCGACCATCGGTAACCGATACTAGAGGAACAAAGTGGCTCAGATACCTTGCAGCTGAAGCAGCATTTTCCTTTGCTTCAAAATTACACAGAGTTCTGGCCTCATCACCATTTGCAAACACCAAATCCACACAATTCCCAATTATTTCCCTGATGCATGAAGAACAAATACAAATTACTAATATAAAGATATGCGTGTTATAGTCATTTGTTTACAGAACAGAACAAACAAATGGAAAATACAAGAAAAATAAACTACCATTATAAGCCTTATTGCATACTAACTTCAGCATAACAAACTTTTATTTCAGAGTATGTCAATATGCTCATTGTTACTGTTGGTACCACCACATTATGATTAATGGGATGAAAATTACATGATATGTGAGAATGAAATCATTTTTGACATCCAGAGGAAATGAATCAACCCATACATAAGAAAACAGAGTGAATTAATAATCTTACCAGAAATCATCGAAATGTCTCTCGATGCAGGAGACATCTGAAGCTGTTATTGCAACCAAGGCACCATTCCTCCGCGCTTTCTCACATGCTTTAGTTATTGTTTTAATGGTATCAGGAAGTTCAAATAAATACCCTTCAACCACAAGGATGTTGGTCTTGGAAACTACACTAGCCAAGGATGCATCACAGTTAACAGTTGAGGAAGTGCCCTGACAGCCAAGTACAAGAATATTAACATCTTCACAATTTAAATATAATGGTAGCAAATAATCCAGAGCTCACAGAATTAGCCTTGAAAAAGATAAATGAAACTTTGAAAATGCCTAAAGTATCCTGATGTAGTATACAAAGAGAGGATAGATGCTGGGAGATGAGAATAAAAAAACTTTCTACTTGAAAAGTTGGAAACTATTGTAGTTTCTATAATCAACGAGGAAGAATTACTTAAAGAATAGATAATAGTGCATTACATGTGCTCAAAGCATACAAGTGACAATGTTTACAAGTTTACAAAATGACACCTGTTTTCTTCAATATATGCAATTAAATATAAATTACAAAATCCAACTTTAGAAAAGAACAACTCAAGAAACTTTTGACCAATTCAACTTGTCAATTAGATATGTAAATGTGCTTCTGAGAAACGTTACGTAAGTGTATTACTGAAGCTAGAGGGGAAGGGGGAAAAGGAATAAACACTATAAGGTGTTATCAATACATTTTACTTAGAAACATCTAGTCAGAGAATCCTTCAATTGCAACAAGGAAGTCAAATATGTGTATATATCTTAAACATCAATCATCTTTAGTGCACTGAACCTGGTATGCAAGCATTGTGCGCTGGGCATCTGGAGTTGTGAGAACTATGACTGTTCCAGTTGTCCCATCCTTGATAGGTGCAGAAAGAAATTGCACATTTGCTCGGCGTAATTTTTCCCTAAAAAATTACAAATAAAATACAAATAAGCAATATAAGAAACTTGATGAAATTTCATTTTCCAAAACAAAACTGATGTAATCATTTGATGACACAGCAACCTATGTACAGAGGATGAGTACATGGTACAGTGGTGTTATAACTAGCTTTAGATAAAAATTTGAATACTTTACAGATATTAACACAACCTGATCTATACCTTTCCAAGCACCGTAGCAACAAAATGTAAATAATACTCTTTCTAGAAACAAAATGAAATATTTTCTTGGTCTTTATTATAAGAAACAAATGATAGATTCAAGATGCATTAATTACTAAATTTCTTATACTCTTTCTTTTATTAGTATCATTAAATATACAAATTACTAACTATATCATATAATATCATAGGTATTTTTAGAATAAAATTTATATTTATAGAAAATATAACATACTTAATTGCTTTTCTTGGTCCTGATGATTTAGTTTTTTGTTTTTTATAAAAAGTATCGGAGGAGTAGTAAATAGAATATGTAAAACAATAACAGGATTAAGAGTACAAAATTTTTCATGGTGTTTCTGTCTAAACACTCTCTTCCCCTCCGTAACTTTTAAGACTAACCATTATGGTCTACTTTTACACTATATTTAGAAGTACAAAAGTATGATTGAAAATCATGCATAAAAATCTAACCACAGTAATGCTTCTGACTTGTGAAAGAACAAAAGCCCAAATGGGTCGTCTAGAACTGTAGTGAAACAGGATTAGACCTTGAACTTCAGGGTAATAATGCCAAACATGATACGAAAAGAAGTAAGTCTGTCATTCTATTGTATATATAATTGATGAGCGAATGAAGTTCCAAATTAGCTTTCACTTTATGAAACTAAATCAGCCACAAGGCCACAATTTAAGTAACCATAACAATTCAATCAAACAACTAACTAGCTAGTAAGAACAGTGCAAATAATGGAGACAAACCTGTAGAAGCCACCCAATAGATCACTTCCTACACTCCCAGCCATTGCCACATTTATAGCGGGAGCTTCGACAGAGCGGCTTCCAAGCCTTGCCAAGGCAACTAAGGTATTAGAAAGGGATCCACCAGCCGCAGCCTTATAGCTGCACCCATCCATAGCCTGCAAAACTCTACCTCTTTCTTCATGATTTACAACTTTCCGCGTTCCCTTCTCTAATCCCAAATTTTTGAGGAAATTATCATCAACCGTGCCAGAGAAGTCTACCTAAATAAGGAATTTCCAAAAACAACACATATAAGATTCACAGATCATCTCAAAATTCATCTACAACATGATTAAGTTATATATGACATCCCTCGGCATAACTAAATAGAAACCCATCAAAGAACAAGAATTGGAAGTATTCTAAGTTCTAACTAACACGCTAACAGTTTGTTGACCAAAACTACATTCATACAAGGAAACAAAACTTTCCTTACCCATCCATGAATACTAATAGCAATTGGAAAAGTAAAAAAAGAAACATTTTTCAAAACCCCAAAATTGAATGAGGAAGAAAAAGGGCATTACCATGGCTTGACCGAGACCCAATACATCCCATCTTTCAGGTAAAACTTCTTCTTCGTAAATAGCCCTCATGGGTTCTTCTTCTTCTTCATCATCATCTTCACTTGCAGCGTCATATTCTGCACGCTCTGGGACTCCACGCGAGTAAGCGGAAACGGAGGGGCCTCTTCGCGTGATTTGGAGGCATTTGGGGGTAAGAGGAAGATGAAAGAGGAAAGAAGGGAAAAGGGTTGGTGTTGGAAGGAGAAGAGAGGTTGAAAGGTGCGGCGAAGAAGAGAGACGAAGAAGAGACAGAGACATGAAGCTGTGATGAAAAGTGTTGCTTTGTGTCTGAAAATAGACACAAAGAAACTGCGAGGCGACACGTTCCGGGTTGTGGTGGCAATGGTAACGGCTTCTGAAGGGAGAGACAGAGGATAAGGTGAAGGGATGAAAAGAAAAAAGAAAAGAGTCTCTCTCAAATTACGGAACCACCCTTTCAGGCTCATTCGCTCTAACAAATTCTAGAAATTCCACGCCAGAATATTACAGATTTTTTAATTATTTAATTTAAATTAAAATTTCATATAATCTCTCTATATTAAAAAACGTTAATAATGAGATGATTTTTTTTATTAAAAATACCTATAATATTTGTAAAATACAACATTATAATCTTACGTTGTTTTTTAAACGAACGGCAGGAACCAGCACACGTCCTACGTTTTCTTCGCCAGTAAATCGTTAGTCTCTCGCTGTTATCACAACCAATATTCTATTTCTCTTTGAAAATAAAAATTATAATTAAAAAGCATTAATTAATAATAGATAATTTTTATAGTTTTTTAATATTAAAAAGATATTTTATATTTTTTACATATATAATAATTATCATTACTAATATTATATTAAATATATATAATAAATATTAATAATATATTATTTTTTAATTTTTAAGATATTAGAGTAATTATAATTCTTTTTGAAAAATATAATATACTTTAAAGTTTATATTAACAAATACTTTTGTAAATATCTAATTTTATTTGAGTCTCATCTAATAAAAATTTAAAATAAAAAACAAAATAAATTTTATAGAAAGCTAAAATTTTTGAATATAAAATAAATAAAATAAAAATTAGATTATTTAAAATATAAAATTTTAAGTTTGAAAATAGATAGTTATTTTTATCAAATAAATAAATTAGTAAAAAAATAAATAAAAATTAATAGATTTTAGAAGAATGGATTAGCGGTATTTATTTATAAAGAAGTTGAAACATTTAAAAAAAATAAAAAAAAATAAAACTAGGTTTAGAGTTTTAGAAAATAGTTATAAATAAAAAAACTTAAGTCCTAGACAAAAGGAAAGAAAAGAGGAGAAAAAACTCTGAAAAATAAAAAAAAAAAGAAATAATTTAAGAGAAAGAAGAAAAAGAAGTCATTATTTTTTTTATTTTACTTTTAATTTTTCATTTATTTTTTATATGTTTTTTTTCTTATTTATGTTAGTTTTTTTAATAAATCCTATTTTTCTAATTTTAAAACTCTTTTTTTTATAAACCTAAAAAATCTTGTCTTTTTTAAATTTTATTCTTTTTTTTTAGTTGGTTACATATATGATAATTGTTATTTTACATTTATATTAAAGCGTCAAATTCATACATGATAATAAAGATGAGAGAATCCAGTGTATCCAAAATGTGATGATTTGTTTATTAACAAAAATTTACGAGTTAATCAGAAAAATAAAAATAAAGAGAATTAAACTCATTATTCATAATGCTGAAATTTATTATTAATTTTTTAATTATTTTATATTAAATATATTTTATTAAAATTACACTGTTAAATTTAAAAAATCGTGTTATTATTTGATTCAAAATTAATAATAATTACAATCGTAAGAAATTGTTTAGAAAAGAGAATTTTAAAAGGAGAATATAAATTTATATTTTAAATAAATATATTTAAAATTAATATTTTTAAAAATAAAATATATAAATTAATATATTAACAAAAATATAATATATTAAAAAATTATTTATTATTATTATAAATAATATATAATTTTTAATTTAAAATTAAAAAATATATCTTCTTCTACCTTCTCCTCTTAAAAACTTTCTTCTAAACATATTTTAAGCAAACTTAACAAAATTATTTTTTAGATATTGTAATATTTAAGTTAAACTTGTCTATTAATAGCTAAAGATACATCATGATCAGAATTAAAATTTTTAATTCGTGATTATAAAAGAAATTAACTAAATAGCTTTTTGTTATTAATTTGTGTATATTTTTAAATTTTATTTAAACTTTCTATAATTTATGAAAATAATTTTAAATTTATTTTGATAAATTTTATAATTAAATTTATTGCATAAAAATGGTTATGTGAAAATTTTTAGAGTTTGCTCGAAAAAATTTACAAACAATTATAAAAATAACTTATATTTTTTTTATAAATTTCTTTCAATAAATTTTTATTATTACTTATTAAAATAATTAATTTATAACAGTTTAATTTCGATAATTTGTGCATAATATTTTTATATTATTAACTAATAAAATTTATTAAAATCTAAGAATTTTTATACGGTATATAAATTAAATTATATTTTTAATTTATTTAAATAAATTATGCTTAAACGCACCCTTAATTAAGTTATCTGAAAGCAGGCATAATTTGAGCAAATTCCTCCATTGATGCAGATCAGAGATAAATCAACGTTTGTTTATGTCTTCCCAAATTGGTTTCGAATTCCGATCGACACAAACCCTAGCAGCGACGTTTAGAAACAACGCGGTTGCAATCTGATCCACTGCATTGCTCGCTCAATCGTTGATATGACTCGTCGCAACTCAGTAGCTTATTGAAATTGAGGAAACAGAGATGTATCTGAAGAAGCCGTTATGGAACGAAGGAACGGAATTTGGGAAAGGTGATGCGAGTGGTTCAGATGCAAAGGCACACGATTACGGTGCAGTTGGTGAGTTAGTGAACTCGCTGCATCGACAAAGAGTTTACAGAGAAGTGACTCTTGCTCTCAGAACTGGCCTCAGAGATGCACGTGCCGAATTCTCCTTCCTCCGTGTCCGTGCTCTCCGTTCCATTCTCAAGTTCCTCCGTTCCGTTGCTGAGTCTGACTCAACCATTGACCTCTTCGTTCAAACTCAATCCATTCCCGAACTCCAAGGTTTGTTCTGCGTTCTTCGTTCTTATTCGTTGTTTTTCATTTACTCTGTTTTGATTGTTATGTGGCGGTGCTTGCAGTGGTTCCGGTTCTCTTTGAGCACTCGCTGAAAGAGAGTGGTGATGATTACAGTGACAATAGGGTAGGAGATTTGAGTCATATATTAGGGGTGGAACCCAAGAAGTTAACAAGTCCATCTACTGATGCTGAAGTTGCGCTTGCTCTTAGAGTCTTGGAAGGTTGTTGTTTGCTTCACCCACAGAGTACAGCTCTGGCTCATCAACACAACGCTATTCAGGTAATATTTGGTAGCTTATCATGTTTTCTTGGAGATTGATTATAATGAAAACTGACTTTTCCATATATGTGATTTGTAGTTTTATTCTATAGCATTTTTGTTATCTTATTTTTGTTGAAGAAAAGATTAATTGAAAAGAAAGGAGAACAATCAAATTGACACATTACTTGCCTCCTCTTGTGCTTATGGACGGTCTTGTGCTGATTAGTTCTTACATCAGCGCATAACATAAACATAAGCTACAGCTATTGCCACCGTGTCTTTTTGTGTATTCCGTCATCTTTATGGGAGAGACACTTACCATTGTGGCAAATAATTCCTTCGTATATCTTAATATTCATTTAATTAAAAAAATAAAATAAACCCCTACCTCCAATTTCTTTGCACATTCAACAAGGAGTTTATCCTTTAATTTGAGTGAATAGTGGCATAAGTAGCACATGTGCATAAAGTGATCCCCCTCCCTTCAACCATAGGCTCGAAACTTAAAAAGAAATGAACTGTTAGATACTTACTTGTTTATCTGCTGCCCTTGCAGGTTTTAATGAATATATTATCCACTCGTGGAGTACTTGAGCAAGGTGCATGCTTAGATGCTCTAATCTCACTGATGGTGGATTCGTCATCCAATCAAATGGTACCTGACTCTTGCCTTTACAACATTTGCAAATGTGTTTCATTATTCTATCATTCTAGTTTCTTTTATCTTCCATATAGGTCTTAAGAATTGAGGTTATTGCTGCTTCAATGTTTGTGTTTATACCTTGGAAAAGTTGAAAAACAATTTATCATATTCATTACCCATAAAAGGAAAAGAGTTTTGCTGCTAAGAGCTTGCTCCATCCTTTTCTCTTTGGTTCTTTTCTGTTTAAAGGAGCTTTAGATATCTGAGGGTCTTGGCTTTAGCTGATATGATTTACCAATGAATGTTCCTCTTGACACACAGCTGAGATTTTGTCTATGGTTTGCTGCAAAAGAACATTTTCGTGGTCAGTTCTGTTTTTTTTTTTTAATTACTCTCTCTCTTGATAATTATTTCTCAGGATTTTGAGAAATGTAATGGTATTATGGAAGTTGCTGACCTTATTAGAGACAAACAAGGGGATGAAAATCTCAGGTACTGCTTCCTTCACTTTTATGCTCTTGTACTTGCCAATTTGGATTTTTGTCTCTCTTTTGTAGATAGCTAGTCTATAGGTGTTCTATTCTTGCAGGTCGTGTTTTGTTAGTCATGCGATGAGAACCTTGGGAGATTTACAGTACAAAAGCTAGCTATTTAAGTTGGAGAGCCCAAGGCCTTATAACCAACCCACACATTTGAATTCCATACTTCCAATGTGGGACTCAAGTCCCATACTTTGCAATTGGATCCTAACATATTGTAAAATTGTATTAGCTTTTTTTCTCATTTCTAAACGATATTAATATTCTTGGAATTAGAACTTTAGAAGAGAGCATTGAAATTTCTAATTTAGTTTGCTTTGTTTTGGAATTGTAAAAAGCATGTGAGTGGTGTATAACATGTCAAAAGATTGCTGCCAGATACAAGCCATGAAGGGAGAAGCTGCTAAGAAGTTCTGGTCTTTAACTCCATTGAAATGTCCTGAACCTAGGTCAAAAGAGGAAAATGCCAAATCACTTTGCTATCCTTTTAACTCCCAAAACCTCACTTTTTTTAACGTCCTAAATCTCTAACTCATGTAGCAAAGAATACCTTCAAATCCAGCAGACAAATTCAGTGTTCTCAAAACAGACCAAGCTTACTCAAAACCGCCAAGCTATCTCATAGAAGAAGCGATGGCTATTGGTTACGGAGTATTTATGGCACCTATAATAATGTTATGGAAAGGGCTTTATGAGGTTTCTGCACATGTAACTAGTCATTATTGTTTATCCTATAAAGGATAGCAGTCCAAACTATAGCCCTAACATTAAAATTGCTATGATTGAAAACTTAAGGAGAAAGGTTTCCTATAAGAAATTGGGAAAACATTTACTGGCTATCAAACCTAAAGCACCTAAAGTCAAAGTGCTGGCATCTGGAGTATTTAAGATATGAAAGGATTCAAGAATGCCATGCAAAGATGTCATCTCCCCCGTCAAATTAGAGGTCTATTTTTCTTCTCTTTTAATGCCTAGATTTTTCATAAAAGGAATTTCTGCAAGTTGGAATGCATTGTAAGTTTGTAAACCTCAGTTTTTAAGTTTGTTGTGCCATGGAAAGAGTTGAAAAATTGTATAGCGATAATAAACATTGTTTATTGTTGAATTTGAGCTTTAAGCTTAACTCAACACTAACAGCTATTTTAACCTTTATAAGTTTCTTATTTAATTATATCTATAGTTGATGTGAGACTTCGACACACCTCCTTACACTCAAGATTTTGGACATTTAGAGCATGAAAATTATAGAACTGTTTTTTTCTAATGTGGCATAGGGAAAATGTGGGACCAGGTATGTTGACCTGGAAAATCCAGTGGGCCAGGTTAAGTGAATTGGAAAAATTCGTGGGACTAATTGTTTTTTTTTTTTTTTTTTCAGTCAAGGAAGGCCTAATATTATATTCATAATATACTCTGATACCATGTTAAATTTGAGCTTAAGCTTAACTCAACTCTAAAAGTTTGCTAGTAAGGTGAGGATCATTTATTTAGCCATATCTATAGTATGGGACTTCAGCATTTATATTTTATAATAAAAAAAAAATTTCCTTTTATTTTTATGAGTATTTTGTTTGTCATGCTTGGCTTTGCTGTCTTGAGACAGCTCAATTATAATTATAAAGGACACGTCATTTCTCAGATTAAAATGTGGAGAGTTTCTGTTGCTGCTCATTGGACATGTCAATGGAAGAGATGTGCCTCCGTTGGCAACTATACATGAAGATACTAGGCGTCTACTAGGGGAGAAATCAGCCTCCTTGATATGGGCAGCCAGTCAGTTTGGTTCAACACTGGATCCAGAGCAGAGACTAACGGCTCTCCAAATCCAGGCTCGCAGGGTCCTTGAATCATTGGACTTGTATTGAATGTTTAGGATAACACGTACAATTTAGGAAAATTGTAATCTTTTCATGTGAAAATATTGGCAGGGAATGAGCTCCTTTTTTGTTTTCAATTTTGGTATGTATGTTGTGATTTTTCTTCATTCTTAGCAACAATAGTAGTTTTTCTCTTCTTTTTTTTTCAATTCGGTTAAGCTTTTATTTTTTTAAAAAATTGTCTGGTTTTCTTCCACAGCAACTTTTGATAAAGTAAGACTGTATCAAAATTATGATGTGTATTATAACGTAAGGCAAAACTTAGGTGCATTTTGGGTTGAGCATGGGTCAAATTTGGTTGGTTTCGGGCCACCATTTCCCAATCCGAAGACAACCGTCTAGGCATTTTTCTGGCCCACTTCTGTATTGGATCTTGAGTTAATAGGGTGACAGGTTGGTGGGATTTCAGGTTATATAGGTGGTTTGTAACGTATTGGGCTAATTTTATTTTGCCTCGTAAAAGATATCAACATTTTATCTTTTGGGTAAAATCAACTAAAGATAGTTCTTAAAATTTAAAATTTTGGTCTTTAGATAAATAATTGTGAATCATATTAATTATTGCTATTAAAATACGTTAAAATATTTTAAATGACATGTGATAATTCATTTTTAATACAAAATGACATTATTTCATAATATTTTTAAAATAGTTTATTTTTAATTTTAGGGGTGAGTGTTGGGTGAGTTGGGTCGGGTTTGGGCTAGAGACATAGAACTGACCAAAATGAAGGATAAAAATATTTTGGACTGAAACTGACTTTAATCTCATTGGGTTAGTTTGAGTTTTAATTAAAACGGTTTGGTCGATTGAGTTTTTTGTAGTTTGAGTCTATTTTTTTTTAGCTAAATACTTAGCTTGTTTCCACTTTTTTAAAAGCAAATTTTGTAAAAAAAATAAAATAAAAAAAAATAAAATAAAATAAAAAAATACTTTTTTTATATGTCTTAGGGCCTTGATTGAAAATGACTCTTTGCTATATTGAATCTTGATTAAAAATTTTAACATATATTTCTAGTCAGCCTAAGATGGTATATATACATTTTACAAGTTTATATATTTACAATTCATAAATAAATTTTTATTATACATATATATTTTAATTATATTTATAAATTTACAACTCTATGTAATAAACAATTAATTATTTGAGTTTAAGTTAATTAAAACAAATCATGTTTTTTTAAATAATATGTCCATTGTCTAGTAATAAATATTTGATAATTATGGGATCAATTAAATAAAAAAATAACTTTAAAAAATGAATCAAAATAAGTTTATTTCTTTTAGTTCTAAGTCAAAATCGTGTGATAAGCATTGAGTTAGGAACTAGCAACCAAATTCTACAAAAGAATACAAAATGATTGCAAATTGATATTTATTTAAAGAAAAAATTGTAAAGTTCTTTAAAAGATAAATCTGAACTAATTTTTATACCTCTTGTTTTGTGTGAAAGTTGTAAGTAAGAAAATTTTTGAACTCTCAACCAATTGCGCAAGGCAGGACTATAAACAAAATCATTAAATCAACAACATAAATGGTATAACAAAGGTTATCATTCTAGCATTCAAATCATTAATTTCATCACATAATTAAACTATCTTCGTAACTATCATGCATTATTAACATACAGTTTCATTAACATCATATATAAGAAGCAATTTTTAAACTTTGTATAAAGAAATGAGATAAAAAAAATAGAAACCTTACTTGAACTTCTAGTAATATGATTCCTATTGTCATTTTGCCACATAACAGTCACTCAAAATAGCCTTCATAGCAAATATGTACATATTACACATAAAATTATAATTGAAAATATAAAAATATGCAATTTAATTACTATATTTTATAAATTAATTAAATTACTTAAATAATTTGAGAATGCATAGATTATTAGGTTAGAACTCTAGAAACCTTGATAGAACACTATGAGAGCATATTTTCTTCTATTACCACGCTACAATTTTATTTTTACATTATGTTATGAGTTGTGAAAATTATTGATCTTATTCATCTTCATCATTTTATTTTATTCATTTTACGCGGGGTGTTACTCAAAATCTTAAATTCTATTGTTTAGAACACTTTTCTAATTTTATTTTTATTTTTGATATCTTAAAACAATCATAAAAAATAAAAATAAAAAAACTTAAAAATAGAACATAGTGTATTCTGGTTGGACTTTGAACTTTTTTTGCCCCTTGGTGCATGACTAAAACTAACCTAGTCAATTGTATGCATTTGATCCTAAAATAGAAAGACCATGGAATAAATTAAACAGATTGGAAGGTAGTGTACATAGTGATAAAGATAGTGATTCTGATAGTGTAAGTGTGAATTCTGATACCATGACTAATAATCAACATGAAATAACTCTTAAGGAATTAGCTGCACCAGTTGTTACATACCAACCTTTCAGCATCCTGTATCCTGATATAGATGCTCCATTTGAGTTAAAATCTGGTCTAATCCATTTGTTGCTTAAGTTTAATGATAGTGCACGTGAAGACTCTCACAAGCATCTGAAAGAGTTCCATATAGTATGTTCAACAATGAGGCCTCAAGGAGTTCCAGAAGATCACATCAAGCTGAAGGCCTTTCTATTTTCCTTAGATGGTATAGCGAAAGACTGACTATGCTACTTGCAACTAGGTTTAGTCACTTGTTGGATAGACCTAAAGAGGATGTTCTTGGAGAAGTTCTTTCCTACATCCAGGGAAGCAACAATCAAAAAAGAGATAAGTGACATTAGATAGTTCAACCAAGAAAGCCTCTATGAGTACTGGGAGATATTCAAGAAGCTGTGTGCAACCTATTCACATCACCAGATCAGTGATCAATTACTTATCCAATACTTTTATGAAGACCTTGCTCTAATGAAGAAGAGTATGCTCAATGCAGCAAGCAGTGGATCTCTCATATAACATGGCAGGGAACTCTTAGCAATTTAATACAAGAGCCATGACATAAGTGAGGGAAGTGCACAATGTGCATCAACCAAACTATATGGTAGCATATTCTAGCAGACTTGAGAGCAAAATTGAGGAGCTCACTATATTGTGAGACAACTAGCTGTTATGTAACAAACTACTCCACAAGGAGGGATGATCAGAGATTGTTATATTTGTTCCTCCATAGAGTACACCTCAAATTGTTGTCCTTTGCTGCAAGATGGTAGCCAACAAGCTTCTGTCCATAGAGCTTTTAGTGGAAGACAAGAACAATACAGAGTTTCAAATTTTCACAACCTCAGAGACAACGACAGCCATACAGGTTCTAGTATCAATCTCATAATCCTACCTTCGGTAATAATCTAAATATGAGATATGATTCCTCTGAGCAACAGTAACAACAGACTAGCTAAGCAACAGCTACAGACCACCTCCAATGAGACAGCAATAAATACAGCATAATTTTGAGCCTTCGTTGGAGGATTTAGTCAAACAAATGGCCAAGAGAAATTTGCAGTTCTAACAAAATGTCAATGCTTCCATCCAAGATCTGTAGACACAGATTGGCCAGCTTGTTACCACTGTAGATCAGTTCAAGTTTCAAGGTTCTGGACAACTTTCTTCTTAATTAGAGGTTAACCCCAGAAACGCGAGTGCCATAATATTGAGGAGTGGGAAGGAGCTACCGGATAACCAAAAAATTAAGAGGTTCAAAATGATGTAGAGGTAGAGAAGAAGCAAAACACAAAGCAACAAAATGTCCCTAGCAGTTCAAAAATTGTGCAGAAACTACCTCTCCCCTTTTCAAACAGAGTAGCCAAGCTAGAGCCACCAACAGACTTTGACAAAGAGCTTTTTGTGACATTCAAAAGAGTAGATGTAAATATTCTGCTATTGTATGCTATAAAACAGATTTTAAAATATGTAAAGTTTCTTAAAGAGTTGTGTACCAGCAAGAGGAGGCTGAAAGAGGATGAGAGAATCAACATGGAAAAGAACGTGTCAGCCATCATACAACCCAATTTGTCACAGAAGTGCAAGGATCTTGACACTTTTACTGTCCCTTGTACTATTGGAAATTCCACCTTTAACAATGCGTTACTTGATCTTGATGCTTTCATAAATGTCATGTCTACATCAATTTACAAGTCTCTGAATCTCAGCCTCTTGAAGAAAATAGGTGTAATAATTTCAATTGGCAAATAGGAGCACTGCATTCCTTGTTGGAGTAGTAGAAGATGTGCTAGTGAGAATAGATAAGCTGATATTCCCTGCTAATTTCTACATTCTGGACATGGCAGAAGAGTCCAGCATGCCTACGCTCATCTTTGGTAGACCTTGCTTGAAAATAGCTAGGATAAAGATTGATTTGCACTCAAAA